TATACTTCCGAAAGCAACATAGCTATAAGAATAAAGAATTACAGATCAAAATTCTGTCTACAATTAAAAACAAAAATAAATCTCTTAATCCATGAACAATACAAAAATAAATAATTCATTAAATAATTGAATATTTCTTAAAATTGAATTTTTATGAAGAATTTTATCAAAATTTTTAAAAATTCAATTCTTCCAAAATTTAATTCTTTCGGCGAATTTTAAAAAAAAATTTTTAAATAAATGCAATTTTCTATCATTTTATTTAAAATTATATAAAAAATAATTGAAATTCTGCCATAAGTTTTCTTATTTATGAAAATAATTGAATTCTTGCAACGAATTTCATTAAAAAATTTTTTAAAGATTTGAATTCCAGTGAAAAATTTTATTAGTGAAAAAAATTGAATTCCCGGAGAAAAATATTGTTATTTATGAAAATAATTAATTTCTTGTGAAGAATGTTATTCAAATTTTTTTAAATACGTGATTTTTTCAGAATTTTTTAAAAACTTTTTGAAAACAATTAAATTTCATTTAGAAATTTCATTAAAAATTAAAAATAATTGAAATCTGACGTAGAATTTTATTAAATTTTTTTTATATAATTGAATTCCTGTGAAAATGTTTTTTATTTAAAAAAAAATTGAATTCTTGGGATTTTCCAAGAATTATTTTCATAAATAAGATAATTTTTCTTAGGATTTCAATTATTTTTAATATAATTTTAAATTTTTTGCAAGAATTCAATTATTTAAAAAAAATAATAAAAATTCTTTAAAAAAATTCAATTATTCTCCTAAATAATAAAATTCTTCAGAGGATTTCAATGATTTTTTAAACAATTTTAAGTAAATTCTTCGAAAAATATAATTGTTTTCAAAAATATTCAAAATTCAATTATTTTCAAAAATTCATGCTATAATGCTTTTAATATTCAATTATTATGTAAAATTTAAACTGAAATTTATTTTTAAATAAATTTTTATTCGAAAATTCTACTAGAATTTAATTATTTAAATACAAAAAAGAACAATTTATTGAATAATTGCATGTTTCTTAAAGTTAAATTTTCATAAAGAATTTTAACAATAAATTTTTAAATAATTGAATTCTTTTAACGAATTTTAATAAAATTTTTATGAATAATTTCATTTTTCGAGGAATTCGATTAAAATTGTATTCCTAAGAAGAATTTTATTATTTACGAAAACAATTGAATTCTTGTAAAAATTTTATTATTTATGAACATAATTGAATGATTGCAAAGAAATTTCTAAAAAATTTGTAGGTAAATAATTGAATTCCTGTGAAATTTTTATTATTTTCTGAAAATAATTAAAGCTTTGCGTAGAATTTTATCAAAATTTTTTTTAAATAATTGAATTCTTTTTGAAAATTTTATTAAAATAGTAAAATATTAAAAAATCATTGAATTGAGGAAAATTTTTGAAAATAATTGAAATTTTGCCAAGAATTTTATTAAAAATTTTGAAAATAATTGAATTTCGGAGAATTTTTTATTTATAAAGATAATTGAAACTTGGACCAGAATTTTAAAATTGAATATAATTGAATTTCTGTGATGAATTTTATTACTTTTGAAAATAATTGAATTTCTGCAATCATTCGTAACTGTTTTTAAATTCAATTTTTTCCAGTACTTTAATAAAAATTCCTGACTTTTCCCTGACCTGTGGTAACCCTGGAATTGTTAAATTATCTAAAAAATAAAAAACTTGCAGAACTTCCATGGAATTTTTTCGACGTGGGTAGCGATATAAAAAATGAATTAATTATAAATCAATAACATTTATAATAAGTTCTTTTTGTAAATAAATATTTATAATTATTGCATAAAAAAGGAGTTACGATATAAAATAGCTTCTCTTGCAACGAATGTATGAAAAACAATGAAATAGCTCAGGAAGAGAATCTATATTCTATAGGATTCTAGAGGTATAGGTGGAATAGGCAAAAACTAACCTTCACGTTAGGTGCTCTATGTAGGGACGTTATTAGGCTGAAAAGTGGGCCAATGCTGCCGAGTTGAGCCGCACCAAAACTGATTAAAGCCGAGCTTTCAGAAATTGTTTTTCTCCCCTGAATCTTCATACTCTTTTACATATGGATCTTTCTTGTTTTCGTGTGTCTGTGTATTCATTGGCTTTATCTCAGAGGAAATATCGCAATCCCTCGTTCAAAAAAATATAGCCAAGGAAAAATATTCGATCTATATCGTTTATATCGTTCCAAGATTTGCAAACTTTCGCAAATTTTAAATCAATTTTCCATTTCTATTCGGCAAATCTAATTCCATCATATTCTCTTCTTTCTCCAAATTTTATTTTATTTCACTCAACACTTTAATTTTTTTTTTCTATTTTATTAATTTTCTCGTCAAGGTTAATTTCATTTTACTTTAGTTGTTGGTTTTTGTTTGCTTTTATAATGATTGGACATTGCGATGAGGAAACTTTTTTCTGGAAAAACAGAAAATAAACTTTTATTACTCTCAAAGAAATTATTGGTTGAAATTCAATGAAATTTGCAATTTATATTTATTACAAATTTTACAAATTACAATTTATATTGGAAAAGTTTGCAATTTTTATTTGTAAAGACTATATAAATATTATTCGTAAAGTTTAAAATTTTTGCTCTTAAAAATTACAACCTTTTATTGTACAGTTTACAACTACTGCTGGTAAACTTTACGACTTTTGTTTATAAACTTTACAATTTTTAATGTAACATTTAAAATCTGTTTTGTAACGTTTAAATTCTTTATTGTAACCTTCAAATTTAGGTACAATAAAACAAAAATCTAACCATCAGAATTCTAATAATTTTAACAGGGTTGCCACAAAAATTTAATTTTGAAATTTTATAGTAAAATTATTCATTAAATAAATTATAAATAATAATTTTATTCTAGTTCTTCAAGAATTAAGTTATTTAATATTTAATTATTGTCATGGAAATAGAAAAAATTGAAGGTTTTATATTATAATTCTTGTCAATTTCATAGTTTATGAGGCAAACAAAAAAGACTCAAAAATTCTGAATTTTCTTATAATTTCTAAAAATTTAATTTTTACCAGTACTTTTAATAAAAATCCCTGACTTCCCTAACCTGTGGCAACTCTGTTTGAAATCAAAATTTTCAACTTAAAATAAAAATTAAAAATCGTAAATTTGAAATTTACAATCTGCACTTCTAAAATGCAATAAAATTTATCAAAAACTTTTCAGCAAATGTTTCGAAAATTTCAAGTTACATTGTCAAATGTCCACCAAGCGGACAACAATAATAAAAGCAATCGTTAACGTCGTATCGCTACAGATATTCATATAAAATAGATTTATGCCCACAATCATTGTCAAGAAGTAATGAAATACTTTTCCGTTTTATAACTTTATATTTGAATTTATATGATAAGGATAACATTAAAATAGTAACTAATTTAAACTATTTTTCAGCTTTTAAAAAAATCCCCTTTTTCTCTCGGTTGCATATTAAATTTTCCTTTTTTTCTCATTTTGTCTTTATGATTCACTTTATATTTATGCACAATTATTAGGTTAATCGAGAGACTTCCGAGTAAAATAAAACAAATCATGTGATAGACTCGACATTTAAAATGATTGTTGTTGAGAAAAACAGTGAAATCATATTAAAACTTGTGACTTTGACGCATAAAAATTAAGAAATATTCTCGTGTTCTCGTGTATAATTGATACGGAAAGAAATTTATTATTTTCTTCTTACATAAAAATATTTAGATTATTTTAATTCCATTAAAAACCATTTAGTTTAACAATTTATACATTATAATATTACAACAATCTCCAAAGTTTTAACATCGCACTAAAATAAATTTATAAATTTTCTTTATAACCACTTTTTTATGTTTATAAATTAATGTCACTATCATTTTTTCAAACCGAGTAAGGTGCATAAATTAATTTTAAAAAATATCATACAGAAGATAAATTTATGAAAAAAATAGTCTCTTAAAAATATTAAACTACATTATTACAATTATTTATTAGCAATTAGTTAAAAAAACATTTTTTCGTTAATATTGCCTTGATAACTTTTTATAAGTTTTAACGATTGTGTGCCACAAAAGCGCACACGTGAAAAGTACATGTCCTTAGCACTTAAAGTTTCAAAATGCTCTTCTCTGTTTCCGACTCAACACTATTATTTGAAAATATATAAGAACGTGCTGAAAATTGCAACAGAAATACGTATAATTGGGTATGAAAGAAAATGAGTTGAAGAGTTTAAACTCAATGAATTTTTTTCCCTCCTATTTAATGTTCAAAAAAAGATGTTTCATATAAAATTGAATGAATTTCATTAAAAACGATAATTATATCATTTATATTCTTATAATTATAATATAATTATAATATAATTATAATATAATATTATAATATATAATATAATATAATAATATATAATTATCATATAAATTGTTGTAAATAATATCATTGTTACGTAATTAATTATGTACATATAATTACAATTACCGAAACTTGACATTAAGATATCCTTTGTCCTAATTAAAATTTTTAATTAGAAAAACTTGTTTTCAATTTTAATTAATTTTTATTTTAGAAAATACTTTTAAACGGAGCTTCTCCAATTCCCCCATTGAATGTCATTTCCGAGTTCATATGTAGAAACTGTTATCTCTAAGATAAACTCTTTTTATTAAACTAATTTTAATTAATTTGCTTATATTAATTAAAATTAGTTTTGTTCCATTATATCAAATTAATGAAATAAACTATTTCAACTATAAGTTAAAATTATTTATTTTTCATTTTTCAACTTAACTTTTAGAGAAGATTTTTTTAATTAGTGTAGAATTTTTTTTTGCTAAAATTATTAAACTTTGGAGCAAAAATAAATGCAAAAGCAAAAAACCTTTTTTTTGAAAGTATCGTGTACAAGTTTGAAAAAAATTTCCTTTCTTTTTCTTTTTCAGATTTTATTGGGACTTATGTATGCTGCTCCTGCTAGTAGCTAATCTAATAATTCTACCGGTCGCCATTAGTTTTTTTAATGACGATTTAAGCACCCGGTGGATAGCCTTCAACTGCCTTTCCGATACGATATTCCTCATAGACCTCGTTGTCAACTTTAGGACTGGTGAGTGTATAATTTAATTTGATATATAATATTAACGAAAATGTCATAAACATACTAATTATTATTAAATATTACACCGAGAATCATATCATTTAGTTAGTGACAATTATTTTGCAAAATGAGTGAATTTTGATTTCTCTACATCTCCGTGTGAAAATTAATTTCGACTTTTCCCTCTATTATACAATACAAATTAGAACATTAATGAGGTGTTAATAATGTCGTTTTTGCCCTTAACTAATCTATTTATATACACATATACAAATTTCTCATTAAATATTCTATATATAATCGTTAATTAAATTTTCAATCGATAATGAATTTCAATTGTGTTAATAAATGTTAATCACAATAATTATACAACAATACACAGAAATATATTATTAATAATAATTAATAAAATATACTCATATAATAAAAAAAAAATTTTATTGTGTCTACTTACCATTTTACCTCGTGGAGAGAAAGTTGCCCAAAAATATCGGAATAACTGCTTTTGGAATCTGAAACAAAAATAAAGAATACAGTCGTATTTTCAAAATCCAAGATTATTTTATAATCGAAATTATTTTTATAATTATTATCAGGGTTGCTACAAAATTTAATTTTCTTTTTCTCTGACTTTTCTCTGATTTTCAGACAAAAATTTTATCTTCTTCCCTGATCCTAAAAGTATATTCTGATTCACTCCAAAAATTATTAGATACTCAAAAGAATATTCTATTACATTTATTTACGAACTTCTCTAATTGTACAATTATTCGAAAACAACAATAACTTCTTTTTTAAATAAATATTTAATTATTATTTTTCCATACGAATTAATATTCTTCAAAGATTCAAATTTAAATCTTTTAAAATTCAATAACTTTTAAGAATATTATTATAAAAAAATGAAGAAATCGAGCACTCCGAGTTGAGTCTTCAACTCGGAGTACTCGATATCTTCATTTTTTATAAATAATTAAACATGACCGAGTGATAAAATTATTATTTTATATTATAAAAGAATATTGGTACTGTAACTTCTTCAAAATTATTATTAATAATTTTTGAAAAAGTTTTTTAATAATTTTCAAATCCATTTGTTTACAATACAATTTAACACGAAATTTTGTTTCTTCGGAAATTCTTCAATTAATTATATATTAGAAAATAAAAACATGAAATAATTTTTTAAAAAATTCAGTTAAACTTTTTCAAAAATATTAATTCTGCAAAATTGTTAGTTAAAAGTATGAAAAATTCAGATTTTCAAAAATTTTAATTTAAAAACCTTTTAAAATTAAATTATTTCTAAAAATGTACTCTGTAATGCTTTTAATGTTCAGTTGTTATCTAAAATTTAAACTGAAATCCATTTTTTAATCAATATTTATTAGAAAATTCTACGAGAATTCAATTATTTATTTAATTTCTTTATTTTACAATCAATTGAATACAAAAATAAATAATTTATTAAATAATTGAATGTTTCTCAAAATTGAATTCTCATAAAGAATTTTATCAACAAATTTTTAAATCATTAAATTCTTTCGACGAATTTTAACAAATTTTTTAAGAATAATTACATTTTTTCGAAGAATTCGATTAAATTGAATTAAAAATAATTGAAATTCTGCGATGAGTTTATTTATAAAAATAATTGAATTCCTAAAAAAATTGTATTATTCACGAAAATAATTGAATCTCTGCAAAAAATTGTATAGTTTATGAAAATAATGGAATTATTACGAGAAAATTTGTAACAAATTTAAAAATAATTGCATTCTTTGTAAATAATTGAATTCCTGTGATATTTTTATTATTCCTGAAAATAATTTAATTTTTCGTAGAATTTTATCAAAATTTGTTTTAAATAATTGAATTCTTTTGGGTAATTTTATTAAAATAGTAGGTATAGATAATAAAAATTTTTGAAAACAATTGATATTTTGCCAAGAATTTTATTCAATTTTTTGAAAATAATTGAATTTTGAAGAAGAATTTTTTTATTTAAAATAATAATTGGGATTTTGTCTAATTTTTTTTTGTATATTTTGAACATATTTGAATTTTCTGATAAGAATTTAAATATTTTTGAAAATAATTATTTTCAAAAGTAATTTTTTATAGGAATTCAATTGAATTCCTATAAAAAATTTTATTATTTAGTGAAAATAATTGAATTCTTTCTAAATAATTCAATTGCTATATTTTTAATATTTATGAAAATAATTAAATGTTTTCGTAGAATTTTATTAAAATAGATATTGAAAATAATAGAATTGAGGAAAAATTTTGAAAAGAATTGAAATTTTGCCAAGAAATTTATTAAATTTTTTCGGAGAAGAATAATTGAATTTCGGACAAGAATTTTATTATTTATAAAGATAATATTGAAATTTTGACGAGAATTTTTTTAAACTTTTGAACAATAATTGAATTTTTGCAATCATTTATTGTAACTTCTCCAAAATGCAAATATTTTTAGTGCTTTTAACTAAAATTCTTCTATAAATCCATTATTTTTAATACCTAATTAATTAGATAAATATATTAAAAAATTTAACTACTTTCAGAAGAATTTGAAATATTCCAATTTTTCAAAAATCTAAGTTCTTTAAAATTTCTAATTAAATTCTTTAAAAATTGAAGTTTTATAAAATTTCAAATTAATACCTTCTGAAGTTCATTTATTTATGAATGAAATTATTTAATTAGAAATTATTGTTAGAAATAGAAAAAATTGAAGTTTTTATAGTTTATGAGGCAAAGAAAAAAATATTCAGAATTTTCTTATGAACCCAAATTAATGTAATAATTATTATATATAATATTGTAATAAAGCATAAATGAAATTTGAAGCATATAAACCGAAAATAAACGACGGAGATTAAAGAGTCTAGTAAAAGAGATACTAGCTCAGTGGTAATGCCACCAACTGTGTAAACACATTCAACTTGGGTTCGAATCCTATCAAAATTGAACACTTTTTTTCTTCCTTTATTATTTATAAACGTTATATTAAAATTTTCAAGTACAAATTGAACATAAAATAAGACTGTGCAAAAGGAGTGTTACTCTTAAGTTCTTGCTGACTTTTTTTCCTCATATTACCGAAGAATTAATTTGATGCGCATTTGAGTGTTGCGACCATAGAATTAGGTCACGAGTTGACAAGTCAAAGGAGACCATTGTAAATTAAACTGTATTCTACAGCGACAATATTCACAATTGTTACAAATTGTTGATCCAGATTCTCAAATATGTCACACCGAACGATGAGAATAATAATTAGCCATTGATTATTCCTTTACATTATTATATATCTATGTAATCGAATTATAATAAAGGAAAGGAAATATTATATCAGTGACTTGATAACAAAATAGTGATAATAATAATTTTAAGAATCGGGCCCACAAAAGAAGACAGGATTTGTTTTCTTTATTTTTAATTTAAATTAAATTCGTGACTCTAATAAAGTTTTGGTGCATTAAGAATGCGCGAAATGAAGACAATAAGACAAACTAAACGTTTAAATAAAGTAGGCGAGGCGAAAATTATACCTATGGTATGTTAACTTCATTGAAAGGTGATGTAGAGGCGTACTTGGAGTCGTTATGGCCGGAAACAGCCCCCCAGGGAACTCCTTAGCAATATCAGTTCACTAGAGTCACCCTATTTCGAATTCCAGGTCTATTTCCAGCTTGCTTCTCGTGTTTCGAATCCAGGGCACCAAAGATTAAAACTCAAGTTTCTCCCGCATGTAGCCAAATTCTACAGAGAGATATTCATCAATTTTCACTCCACTAAATTGTTCCCCCTTTTTTTTCTATTTTATATAAATTATTCTCTTCCAAGGCAATTCCCTCTCAATAATATATATGTTCTCCTTTTTCTCAATTTCATTCTATTCTCTCAAAATTAACCATTTTTTAAATTAAGAAACATTTTCTCGTTTGGATTTAAAAAAAAACCTTTCTTTGTTTTAGGAATTAAAAATAATTGAATTCAATTTAGTTTTAATGTGCAATTATTTTTTTACTCCACTTTTTCAGAGGCGAATGTGAATAATGAGAGGAGCTATTTTTCTCCTTGTTTCAGGTATAATGCAACAAGATAATGCTGAACAGGTGATACTGGATCCTAAGTTAATCGCGAAACACTATCTCAGGACTTGGTTCTTTCTCGACCTCATCTCCTCCATACCTCTAGATTATATTTTCCTCATATTTAATCAAGTAAGCCTTTAAAGTCTTTTAGTTCTATAATTATATGCCAATGGAGTTAGATTTCACACTAAACTATAATACCAGTATTTCAAAATTAAAAATACGAACTTTACGGACAAAAAATGAAAAATTACGGACCACTTATTAACGACAAAAATATAACCAGTCCGAGCCAAATAAGAGAAAATTTTATTAAAAACTATAAATTAAATTTTTCATAAAACATGAAGAAATCGATCACTCCGAGTCTTCGACTATCGGAGTGATCGATTTCTTTATGTTTTATAATAATTAAAGATGACAGAGTCATAAAATAATTATTATAAAAATATTGTTACTGTAACTTTTTCAAAATTATTTTCGTCATTTTAATTCAATTATTATTTTCCAGAATTTTTAACTAAGATTCTTTTTTTAATCAATTATTTTTAATAACTTTCGAAAAAGTTTTTTAACAATTTGCAAATCCATTTGTCTACAATATTCAACTTTACGAAATTTCAATTATTCATTAATTCTTCAATTAAATATATATTAGAAAATAAAAGATTCTAATATAATATAAAAAAAAACTCAAACAAATTTTTTTATAAAATTAATTTCAAAATTCAATTATTCCTAAAAATTCACACTATATTTATTTATTTATTTTATTTATTTATATTGTTTTAAATATTCAATTATTATCTAAAATTTTAACTGAAATTCGTTCTTAAATAAATTTTTATTAGAAAAATCTACTAGAATTCAATTATTATTTAAACAGAAAAATGTATGTTACTTAATAATTTAATGCTTTTTACAATGAATTTTATTAACAACTTTTGAAACTCTTTAATTTCATTTAAGGAATTAAATTAAAATTTTACTAAAATTTATTATATTAAAGAATATTTTATTACAATTTTTGAAAATAATTGAAATGTTTTTGAAGAATGTTATTAAAATTTTTAAAAATAATTGAATTCCTGAGAAGAATATTTAAATAACAATTTATGAAAATAATTGAATTCATACAAAAAATTTTATTAAACTTTGTTCAAATAATTGAAATTTTGACAAGAATTTTATTAAAATTTTGGACATACATAATTTAATTCTTGACGAGAATTTTAAAAAAATTTTGAAAATAATTTAATTTCTGCAAAGTCTTTTATTACTTTTCACAAGAATTGAATTCTTCTAATAAATTTTGATATTTATCAAAATAATTGAATTTTGGAAAAGAATTTTAAAAATTCCTTAAAATAATTGATTTTATGGGAAGAATTTTATTGCTTATCAAGATACTTAAATTCTTTTGCAGAATTACTTAAAATTTTTTTTAAATAATTAGAAACTTTTTGAAGAATTTTATTAAAATTTAAAAAAAAAATAATTAAATTTCTGAGAAGAATTTAAATACAAATTTATGAAAATAATTGAATTCATGCAAAGAATTTTATTTAATTTTGTTTAAAGAATTGAAATTTTGACAAGAATTTTATTAAAATTTTTGATAATAATTTAATTCTTGACGAGAGAATTTCTAAAAAATTTTGGAAGAATTTAATTACTTAAAAATTTTTGAAAATAATTAATTTTCTACGACGAATTAAAAGCTATTTATGAAAATATTTAAATTATTGCAACAAATTTTATTATTTTACTGAATAAATTAAATGTTTTAGTAAAATTATATATATTTTTTTCAATAATTAAATCGTTTGATAAATTTTATGTAAATAGTGAATATTGAAAATTATTAAATTGCGAATAGCTTTTGAAAATAATTGAAATTTTGCAAAGAATTTTATTTAAATTTTTGAAAATAATTGAATTTTTGGCAACAAATTCTGCTATTTTCAAAGATAATTGAATTTTTGAAGAGATATTGGTTAAAATTTTAGAAAATAATTAAATTCCTACGAAGAAATTTATTACTATTTTAAAAATAATTGAATCCTTGTAATGAATATTGTTATTTATGAAAATAATTGAATTTTGCAAATAATTTTATTAAACTTTTTAAAAATAATTGAATTTTTGACGAAAAATTTTGCTATTTGTGAAGATAATTAAATTCTTGACGAGATAGTCGTTAAAATTTTAGAAAATAATTGAATTTCTACGAGGAATTTTATTACTTTTTTTAAAAATAATTGAATTCTTGTGATGAATATTGTTATTTACGAGAATAATTGAATTTTGTAAAAAAATTTATTATTTATGAAAATAATTAAATTATTGCGAATTAATTTATAAAAAAACTTTGTAAATACATAATTGAATTCCTTTGAAATTTTTATTATTTTATGAAAATAATTAAATGTTTGCGTAGAATTTTATAAAAATTTAAATAATTGAATTCTTTTGAAAAATTTTATTAAAATAGTAGATATTGAAAATCATTGAATTGAGGAATATTTTTGAAAATAATTGAAATCATTGAAATTTTGCCAAAATTTGTATTAAAATTTTTGAAAATAGTTGAATTTCGGAGAAGAATTTTATCATTTATAAAGATAATTGAAATTTTGATGGGAATTTTCAAAAATTTTTGAACATAATTGAATTTTTGAGTAGAATTTTATTACTTTTGAATATAATTGAACTTCTGCAATCATTTGTAATTTCTCTAAAATTCTCCAAATTATATCGTACAAATTACGAACTTTACGGAGCTTTTTTTTAAAAAAATGACTTTTACAGACTTACAGTTCGAGCCCTGTAATAATTTAACCGTTTTTTTCAAAAAAAAGTTATTTCATTTTTTTTTAATTTCTTTTTTGGTATATAAAATACAAAAACGAAATAATGAAGCTACCCTTGCAAATAAACGAAAATTCCCCCAGTTTCAGGATTTCAGCGAGTCCTTCCAGATTTTGCATGCAGGTCGTGCTCTTAGGATCCTCAGGCTCGCCAAGTTATTATCACTCGTTAGGTTACTTCGATTATCGAGACTGGTGCGGTACGTCTCGCAATGGGAAGAGGTCTATGTAAGTATCACCAACATCACTCTTTTCTCTGGTCCCGATTTTAATCTTTTTTTTCCTCTTTTTTTTCATTAAAATAATGTACTTTTTCTAATTAATTAAATTAATCCACATTATATACGCAATTTTTGAATTTCTAGAAAGCACTTGACCTTTTAAATAATATAGTCCTCCTTTTCTTGCACCAAGAAGAAAAATACCACCATTATTCTCAGGACAAATGCTTTCTTAAAATGAATAATTTCAGGAAATTTTCGTATCAAGTGATATTTACATATTATTTATAAAAAAATGTACCTTCGACAATTTGTTAGAAAACCGAAGGTAAAGGACAGTTCCCCTATTTATTTTTTTTATTACCTTTTTTCTCGTTTAAAAAAAAATTGAATCTCTTTAGGTCACAAAGGAAAAATCTCACGCCAGTGGTGGATGATTATACTTCTCTACCTTCATGAAATATAATAATTTAATTCGTAAATTTTCCACGAAAAAAAATTTCACAAATTCTCAATCATTTTCACATGGAGAAATTATCCGAAAATTTTACCAAACAGAAATAAAAATGAACGTCAGTCCACCACTGCTAGTATTGTTCCTGACGTCTCAATAATATTATTATATAGATTCTATTATACTTTTTGCTTTTTTTACTTCTCGCTAAACGTATTGTCGTCCGTTCCGATTCCTTACAAATATTTTTAGATTCCTGCTTCTATTTTTTTAACCTTTTCTCCTTTACACATAAAAAAACCGAGTATTTTAATTTTTAGCCTAATTTATTAATCCACACCTGAAGATAATTATCTTTATTTACGAATACAAGGTGCATGAACGTAATTCAACACTTACAGAATAAATACAAAAAAAAATCGTGAGAGTAAAAAGAAATCCTAGAAAAACAGTATTTTCAAAACAATTTTAATTTTTAAATTAATTTCATTTTTTTCGAAAATTAGGCCACGAGTTTATAAAAAATTTTGACTAAATTTTTCAATTCTATTTGTGTATCGAATTTTTATTACCAATTAATTAAATTACAATAATTGATTATAAATTTTCAAAAAATTTTAATTAAATAACTGATTGCAAATTTTTTATTTCGAAATTGCAAAAATATGAAATGAGCATTTTTGAAGAGTCGATTATTAAAAACAATTTAAATGCATGAATAAAAGTAGGAAATAAAAAAAAGAAATAAATCCACGTAACAAAGAATTTATACGAGTGTCACATTTATGAAGCGGATTTTTTTTTCTTTTAATGTTAATGGTCGCGATTGTATTCCATTGTTAGTGAAACAATCAACGAAGGATAATAACCAGACCAACGAATCAATCAGACTTTTTCAGTTCAATTCGAATAAAATCCTACTTTGTGGGCCTTTTTTAAAAAAAATCTCTCTTTTCTTAAAACTGTTTCAAAATTCTATATTTTATTTTCGATTACTCAATATTTCTGGAAAATCCTTTACTTTCGGATCAAAAATAATTCGGCTAAAATATCAAATGTATAAGTAAAAAAAAATTTTATTCAGTAAAAAAATATTGTTAATTTTTTTTAAAAAACTAATTATATTTATTCTTTAGTATATGAAAATTATAAGAATAAAATAAGAAAACTAAAGGTTTGTACCAATGAACAAAATTTATTTTTAAAAAGTTTTCCAAATAAAAAGTTAAAGTTTCAAAATTTTATTTTAAAAAATAAATTTTGTACAAAGGTAGAAAATAGTGGCCCTAGTTTATTTTCTATTTTACAATAAAAAGTAACAGTAGTCGTGGACACAGAAAAATTTTAAAAAACAGAATTTATCAACAATTAATATTTTTTAATGGAAAAATTTTGGTACCAACGACAACGATGATTATATTTCACTTTTATCCAATTTAGTAGAAATTAGTCTTTCCATATTAGGTATAAATAAAAAATTATTTCGAATATCAGGCAAAAAAGAAAATTACAAAAATAATGTAAGTGAATTAATCAAAATCATGCATCTTATATTTTTTTTCTTTTTCAATCATTTCGCGGAAAGGGAAAATTTTGTTGCACAAGAAACCTTCAAGAATTTGTGTACAAATTTTATTGATGAAAATATTTTTCTCTTTAAGTATTCACGCAAGATATTTGCTATGAAATCGCCTGGTGTATGCTTCAGCAACTGGAAATTTTTGATTATAAGAATTAATTCTCACGTAATAACGACGAATATAGAATTTCAATGTATTTTATTGTTAAATAATAATAATTAGAAGCTTTCTTTTCAATATCAAGAAAAAATTTTAATTAAAAGTACATCTAAAATTTTTTCTTTTTTAATTTTTTCTAAAAGGAAAAAATTGTTAGTTAAAGTTTAACAGAAATTTAAAAAAAAACGACGAGCAGAATTCATTAACTTGAATTTCATACAAAAATGAATTAAAAATCGTAAACGCCAAATTGGTTTAAAAAGTTATTAATAATTAATCAAATTTTTTATTGTCCAATAATTAAGATATTTGAAATATAATTTAATGAGTTATTATAATAACATTAATGAACAAAAAACGAAGAATAAAAAAGTACAAAAAGAAAATAGTATTTTAATAAAATCCACTGAAATTTTATAAAAATTTAATTGCTTATTAAAATGCACTAATTTTATTAAAAAGCATGTTAAAATAATAATTTAATTTCTCTTTCTCCGAAATAATTTTTTTTTCATTATTCATTTTTACTATTTATATATGCCTTTAATCACAATTTCACCAAAAAATGTTAAATTGCTGCATATAATTAATTTATACATCCTTGTTGTTGTTACCGTAAATAATTATACTTATTGATAATAAATATTATTATAAATCAATGAAACTCTCGAAAAGATGAGTTAACACTTATTTTTTATCAAGAGCACAATATATTGTTCGCTTGAATTTCATCTTTTTTTTTATGGTATTCTATGCTTTCCTAATGCTATTTGATTTTTGTCACATTTAATGTACACATAAATATATACAAATTTTTTTTTGTTAATAACAATTATTAATAATTCTTTTTGTGAAAAACAAGAATTAAAAATATGACTAATATATTAAACTTGTGTTGCCACTACTACTGTTAATAAACAGTGGCGGTGGGATTTCTGATAAAATAATTAATAATAATAAAAATAAAAAAAAGATTACAATAAGTTCTTGGCTTTTTTCTCTTTTTATCATTGCACTTTAAATTAAGAATTTTTTTTCTATTTTTTCATATAGAAGAAGCGTTTATACTCACAGCTTTTCCACAAATTATTTTTTCCACTTTTTTTTCTCAAAGATTTGTGAATATTAAGAGAATATGTGAAAGAGTGTAGAGAATATCCAAAAATTAAGGGGAAATTGAAGAAACCTAAGAAACGAAAAATTGTAGATTATTCTTTCATTTATCATTTGAAATAATAAAATTGAAATAATCAAAATCGTGATGGAATATCGAAAAGTTTAGGGACTTTGAGGTAAAAAATCAATAAGGAAATTGGGGTAATTAGACAAGAGGTGATAAGGTGATAATTAAAATTTTCTTTGAAAGTTAGGAAGAAATTTGAAGAAATGATAGAGAAAGAAGAAGAATGATAAAGAAGTGATAAAGAATTAGAATTTTTGGAGAATATTTAGTTTCGAGAAAGAAGTAACAGAAAGAATGAGATATTACCCGCATGGCTGAGAAAATAGATGATCAAAAGTTGAAAAATGACTCAAAAGAGAAAATAATTTGTCACTAAATAAAAAATCGAAGCAAAAGTTAAACTTTTGCTTCGATTTTTTATTTAGTGACAAATTATTTTCTCTTTTGAGTAACAGAAATCGTGATTGATGTTCATGGTCAATAAAAAAAAACAAGGAAGTAAACTGTGGTGAAAGAGAATTAGGTTCGGAATGAAGAGCAAACTTATTAAAATAGTCTAGAAAAATGGTCGCAAGTATTAGAGTTTGAAAGAAATTAGAAAAGTTCTCAGCTTTTCTAATTTCTTTCTTTTGGTTGGAGGTGGATTCTAATGGATGAATGGTGATAGAAATGAATCGTAAGAGGAAAAAGGGTAAAAGAAGAAAGTTGGAAAATCAAATAAGAAGCAAATTACTTTATATATTTCTCCATGTACATTAGAACCTCGATTATCCGAATTATAATAATTGGGACAGGACTTGGTTCGGATAATCTGAAGTTAGAAATTACAAATGTTTTGGTTTATAATTATGGCTAAATGATTGAAAAATCAGAAGATAATCCTTATTACAAATAAGACATTTGTACCAACAAATGTTCAGAATGATATTTTCGGTTTTAGGTTGAGAAAAAGTTTGGATAATCCAGGTTCCACTGTATAAGAAGTTTTAGAAATAAAGCACAAACTGAAAGTGTGTGAATGGTAACGAATGATGATGATGATTTGGATGCCAAAGTCGAATCAGCTAGAAGTCTTAATGGAACAGTTGACTTGACATCCCTTTAAGAATATAAAACATTATGAAGAGTATAGAAGAATATAAAAGCCAAGAACATAAGCTAAACGTTATAAATTATAAAAATCCCGCCGCCACTAATCGCTCCAGCAACGATTTGTTCTAACCAATGACACAATGCTTCCTTGAAAACAATCACCCCCCACTGACACACCAGGTCATATACTGGGTTTTGCGATCACGTTCCGAATGGGTTTGCAGATCCCCCTTTACCAACAGCCGGAGAGACACTACGAGCGTCGAACTACACCGCCCCAACCAGACAGAACCAGCAAGGTGTGCCTGCTAGTAACCCTGATATCAAGGCCAAAAGCCCTTTCTTGATTGAAGCGTTCGTTAACTCAAACTCAATGTGTTTTCTACGCTAGATGATTTTTAACTGTGGTTTTTCCTTAGAGGAGTTGCATAGTTTGTCGTCTCAGTCTTATAAGCCAATGAGAATATTTTAACCCAGTTTAGCTCTCACTGGAAAGCAGAACTGATCATGAGCCGAGCAACTCTCTTTTCAAAACAAAGATCAAAACAAAGATATACCCAAAATAAATAGGGGACCACAATCATTTCAAACTTTATTGTATCCAAAAGCGCGCGACAGTTCCATTATTCTCGCTAATTGTTAATTAATAATTTTAGCCATACGCTGCCGAATGCTCTCAAATAAATAAATCCAAAACTTTTCTTTCTTGGGACAAAGATAAAGCATCTCTTTCCTGAGAACTTTCGTCAGCGCTTGCTTTTTCTTTTTTACTTTCTTTGCCAGCTCTTGCTCAGATCTGCTGCCAACCTGTAGTTTCAGATGAAATACAAGTGTCACGTGGATCACTACGAATTTTTCTTAAAAAGCATGCATCTCTAATTTTTATTCACTTACTTCTGAATTTAAATCTATTTAATTCCCCTAATCAAACAGTTCCAAATTCTATCTTTATCCAAACTTTTGGTATAAAATTATTCTTCTACATAGTAGAAATTGTAAATATTTGTGTCGTGGTGCAGAAAAATTAAAAGTTGTCCACGTTTCACATGCTAGCTGAATCCTTTGCCAATGTCCTGAGAACGATTTGCTGTGACATGTTTGTCATGTTCGTCGGGTGTTTTGGAAAGCTTCGTTCAATTAGGATCTTAAGAGAGTTCGAGTTATTAGGCGTTGCAAGCTTTCATGTCAAATTTCAAGAAAAAAGTTATTCATCATATTGAATTAAAATAAAAATTAAACCAATAACTGAAAGTCAAAAGATGTCAAAAATTTACCGTAGGTACAGAATCAGAAATTAGTGATTTTTCATTCCCTTATAATCTTTTATTTTCTTTTATCTCGTTTTAAAAAATTTACAAGACATTTCGTACAGACTTCTATTATTTCTTTCATTGCAATAATAGAAAATTATTCAACAGACTTTTTTATACAATTTTTATAATTTTTCAATGTAAAAAAATTGAAATTAAGAATTGAAATAGAAATTAAATTAAAATTGAATTAAAATTGAGATGAATTGAATGAATTGTTGCTAAAAAAGAAAAAATTTGACATGCAAAGCTTTGCAAGCGAGAGATTGGTTGATCTGACTGTAGGTCTGCCTGTGAGTGTTAGGTGTACAGTCATATTTGCCCGAATTTTGTTGGCAATGTGCCCGTGTTCAGTGTGTCCTCTTTTTTTCTATATATATCTCTCTTTCCTATCCTTTTCACATTTCTGTCATGTTTTTCCCAAATGCTCGCTGTCTTTCATGTTGTTAGCTGCCTGAATTTGTAAAAAGAATTTTTCCGTTTGTCCAGGCCTTGGAGAGGAGAGCTACGTGAAAACAGTGACACTCTTCTTTTTATAAATATATTATACCTATTTTATTCTACGGCACGCTCTTATCCTTCCAAATTTCCTAAATATATTTTTATAAACTTATTTACAAAAACCCTTCTTCTTTTATTTACAGCAAATTTCTTTTTTAATTCTTTTTCTATAACGTAATTTACTTATTTTGCTAGTCCAATTAGTTTGCTCCGTTACAAAACAAAAAAATTTTTTTTTAACAATGTTACCTGACTGACAAATTGTTATTTGTTGTTTTTTTCAGACTTTTTCTCATTTTCAGAAACTCAGATGTCGATAAATTTTAATATGTTTAATAAATGGTATGGATGAAAATTTCTATTTTTTAGATATTTTATATAGATTTTGCAGGTCAAACAGAAAAAATTCACCCTTTGTTTTAAATTCAGAAAAATATTTCCCAAAAAATAATTTCTATTATATATATTCAATTTAGAACAAAAAAATGAATAAACTTCTGCCTCCTAAAAAGAATAACAGATCGAAATAAATTCTGTAACATTTGTTTCCCTTTTTTTTAATGCTCAACGAGTCGGTTAAAAAGTTAGATAAAATACGGTTACAATGGGTAATTGGGACATTCATACTGAAAATTCTCATTTACAGTCAAACGTTGATTACGGTTTTCAAAAATCTCGATAATTCCTTTTCCAATCAATGCTATTACTGCGTCAATTAAAAAAAAGAAACAATTTTTTTTACAAAGAGTGAGCATTTTTTGCCCTTTATAATGAAACAAAGAAATTAATTTTTTTAATTTTAAATTCAATTAAAATTCTACTCTAATAAAATAAAAATAAAATATTATTTTAACAAAAAATCCTAATTAGTTATTTTTCCTCTCTTCTTTTCCAATCTATAATTACTATCTTCTTTTTTCTAAATAGAAATTTACCAAAAAAAAATAGATCCATACTATTTTATCGAATGTTTCTCCGTGTGAAAAAATAATCACAGGTACACATCTATTTTTTTATTTGTGAAATTGTATTTTGGATAATGTTGTTGAAAAGGTTGATATTTGAAAAATGAAGAGTTAAATATTCCTTTGTTCGGTTTGATTGTGATTTTGAAAATTAATTGTTTAAATTTAAAATAATTTTATTGGTTTTAAAAGATGTTAGATTTAGGAATTTTTTCTACATTTTGCATGATTGTGGAATTTGTTAATTATTACAAACATAGATTATCAATTCTTTCATTCTGTTGACAAGTGCAATGCATTAATGGTTACAAAACATCTACAAATTTATAATAATATTATTGTATATTATAAATTTTATTTTATTCTCTTGTATCTATAATGAAAACTTGAAACAGAAGAGAAAGATAAATAGCTTTTAAGATAATTAATTACATTGAAGCTAGTAAGATGAAGTATTTTAAATGTTTATAAAATTTAATTTTAAATAATTTAGAAACGTTGTGCAAACCTGGTGAATATTGTCATGAGATCGTTGTTGTATTCTTAAGATCGATAATTTATTATAGTTAGAAGTGTTTATTTTAATACAGCCCTTTAGTATTTTTAAACTAATTGTTTATTTAACTGCCTTTAGAAATTTTTATAGAAACTTTAAAAAATAATTTAATAATAAAACATGTTTAATTACTATAAGAATAAATTAATTACAAACAATTTAATTATTATCCAAAACTTTATTTGCATTCTCATTTTTAATTACGAAGACTAATTATTATACTTTTAGCCACCATATTTTATAATTATAATAATTATATTATAATTTTTATAACTATTAATTATTATTTCAAAAAAAATTATTTTTTAACTGATAAATTACTTTTTGTTTCTAATCTCGCGAGTATTAAGTTTAGAAACATATTACACTTTATGAGAAACGTGAGAGATTTATAAAAAAAAAATTCTTTTTTCATAAAACGAACAAAAAGAAATATGTTCTACATATTCCATTTTTTTGACAACCTCAAATTTATTTTACACTTCTAAATATTATTTTTAATCTATACTACATTAGGTGCAAGTTGACCAATAATTTTCAGAAATAATTAAACTTGGAATTTTAGAGACAAAAAAATTAAATACATCAACATTAAAATATTTATCATAGGAAAATTGTAGGTATAGTAAATTATATATCATAATTTTTTAAATTAAAAAAAGTCTTTTTTATAAATTATTTATATTCAATTTAAATACCTATTATTTAAATTACCATTCGTGTTATTTAAAATTTTTTCATAACAAAATATTTAAAAACATATTTAATAGAATTTAAAAAAATTATTTGTTTACAGGAATTAATACTGATAATTTAAAAAAAAAGAAAATGAATTCCGAGTCATTTACTCGCAATGATCTCTTTTGCCAAAACTAATATTTTAATTTTCGTGATTCAATTCGAGATATATGTTGATATGAAAAGGTAAAAAGGTTCATTTAGCTTGTGACCACTTTTTTTATTATTTTGAAAAATATATCGTTTTTAAAATTATAACTTTTAACTTTTAAGTTAAAAATTATACGTTTTTTCTCACTTTTCTTAATATAAACTATCATATAACCTAGAAAAAAGTAAGCGAATTTATTTTACTTTTATATTTATTAATAACAGCGAATTCAGCTGTTTACAGAAACATTGTGTTGGGTATTAAAAAAAATCAGCAGCATCCATATTTTAAGCTAATTTTAGATTATCTTTAAATATTCAATTTGGTATTCAAATAAAATTGTTGCAGATCATTTTAATCCAAAATGCAAATTTTCTGCAATCCTCTTACTTATTTTCACTTGTAGTTGAAGAGGAAAACAAGGTTCTGCTCTTTTTTTCGTCACTCTCTCTTTCAAAGTAAGAAGAAAAACAAATTTTTTACTTTAAAGTTAAATATTTATATTAAGACGCTTTATTTCTATTAATAATTCGATTACTTTTTTCTGGGTAATAAATAAATTCTGTATGAATATTCATGAAACTAATTGCTAAAAATTATAATAGGATAAATTAAATTAAGGAACTTTTTGTATTTGTTTGGTAATCTTTGATAGAAATTTCCTCGGAAATTTCTCTTCTTAAGTAACGATATATTTTTAAAAGTAGGGAAAAGTAATTCTTCTTTTTTCATTAATTTGTAAACTCTTAGCGAGCTTTTGAAATATTACGCTTGCCGCTTGTGCAAATGCGAGAGCTTTAATTGACTGGCTTTTTCTCTATAGTACAATTAATATAATTAAATCTTAATCATATGGTCAACTTGTACTCTCTTATTTCTTCATTTATTTCCTTTTTATAATTTTTTTCCTCACTAAAATTTTATATAAATTTGGATCATTTTCTCTTGAAGAATTCCAAATTTTTTAATACTTTCAGTGAAAAATGTTATTAATGAAAAATACTATTAAAAAAAAATTAAACAATGGGGACAAATACAGTTTTTCTGCAGATATCAAATTGAGACAAAAAACGAATCAAAAATGTTGCTTCGCAACTTTTTGATTCTTTTTTTGTCTCAATTTGATATCTGCAGAAAAATTGTGAAATCAAAAACATTAAATATTTCTTTTCAATACATTTGTTTAAAAATTTCAAAATTTTCCATTTGCTACACAACGAGAGAAAAAACTCCATTATCAAACTATGTTATATGTACTTTTCTCCTATTTTTATTCCTTTATCCGAAACGGAAAAAATAAATTTTTGTTTGTAATTCTTATAACAAAAAAAGCAAAAACAAAATTAAAATTAAACAAATTTCTTTTTAATAATGCAAACATTATAAAAATTACTTGTATTCTTTGGATACACCATTATGAACCAGTACTTTTCTGGTTTTTTGAGATTTAATTTTATCTTTTGTCTCGCACACGAATACTAATGGAAAAAAATACAAATATATTTATTTATACATGTAAATCGTGCTCGAGAATTTTAAATTTAATTTACACCCGAACAAATATAAAAAAATAAACACACAATAAAATTTTCATTTAAATTCAAAATTTTTCCCATTTCAATATAAATATTACAATAACCAGAGAATGAAATGACAAATGTTCGAAAAGATGTAATAGAGAGATTGTGAAGAGAAGCTTATTTTCAATATATATAAACTAACCCAACTATTTCATAATTCCATACCATTAATAATAATATTTTCTGTCAACGAACTTCCGATCTTTTGTTCCTATTATTTTAAAAATGTGTATTTTCGTGAAAAATTTTAGTCAACAAAGTTCAACTCGAAGAGAAAATGTACTCTTATTCGCACTCGAACCTCAATTCTGTGCGTATAAAATTCTAAATTAATTTTCTTTAATTAATTATTACTTACCATTTAATATTTAACATTTAAAAATTCTTTTTTTTAATTTTACGACTGCTATACGAGATAAGTTTATTATTATATTATATTAATTCGATATTAACTACCTATTTCTTCAGAATAAGTTTTGTTTCCAAAAAGTGATCCTAATAAGAAAATTTATATTCCTACGATTTCCACGGTTCAAATAAACGCCATTTTTTTATAATTCAATTCAAATTTTATTAAAAAATAACTATGATAATTAAATCATGATAAAATATTATTGTCCTAGAAGAAATGCCACAAAACGGGGGTTCGAGTGTACTTTCGATTAATTATTTCCCCTTTTGTAATTTAATTATTGAGAAATGTGTGCTAAAACAGGAAGTTCGAAAAACGGAAAAGCTTTAGCTATATCGTGTGACTAAAATCTTTCCCCGCACATCGAGAAGACAGGCAGGTGAAGAAAATAAAAAAGCTTTGCTAAAACGAGGAGAAGTACAATTCCCAAAAATTAACAGAGTCATCGTCTGAAATATGATTTTTCAACTGCTTACTAAAAAAAATAATGATAACGAGAGAGTCCTTTCCGAGATTCTTCTTTTTCTTTAATGATAATAACACTATTTATTTCTTTTTCCAATTTCTCTTTCTCTCTCTCTCTCTTTCTCTCTCTACTCTTCTCTTCTTTACTTCTCTGTACTATTTTTCTGTAACCTGTCGTCCTCTTCTTACTATGTCTTGCTATGTCCCGGCTTTCTTTTGTTTCTAGATATTGCAGAACCTACAAAAAAAACGCACTGAGCGGAGGGGGCGCCTAAGCTCTGACAATATGAATAAAAAGAAGTCCGGTTTCAGCAAAAGCGACCTTATTTTTAAGGTAACCCGCCCTTAAACGATCGCGCAAGCTCTTTAGCCGCACAGCCCTATCGTTATTTATTTTCCTTTTTTTTCATCGCAGCGACGATTTTTCGTTCTTAATTTTCTCAAACTAAAAAAAAGAAAACACGATGGAGGGAGCGTACGCACCTCGTGAGAAATATAAAAGGAAATTCTCATGTTCAAAAAAAAAAGAGACAAAACGGGGAAAAATTCTTCGTCAAATTCAATACTGCGGCAATGCGCTTTCATTTATAAAAGCATTGCCGAACCAAAAAGGTCCTTTCAAAATTCATGATATGCATTTACAGCGGAAGTCACCTAAAATAACGTTAACGAGGTCTCGATGAAATACGAGCCTCTCGAGACAAATCAATAATTTCTAATTTTCGCGTATATATATATTTGCTTTAAGACATTCTTCTCACGTAGTGATTCTTCTTTTCTGCTTTTATTACACAAATTTTATTTTTTTCTTCATTTTTATCCGATTGACAAATATTTTTCATTTTGTAAAATTTCTACTTCGCTTGAGACTTGGTTAAAAATTATTTGTATTTTTTCACTAAAAACGATTTTTTAATTTTGAAAAATAATACTGAACGAGAAAGAATTAGACGAACATTTACTTACAATTTCTCTTTTAGTAAAAAAAAAATCAGTGTAAAATGTAAATTATTACTTTAATTATTTAATATTTTAATTTTTAATTTTGCATTAGATTTAGTTACTTAATATTTATTTATTTATTTAAAAATATTGAATTCATATTAAAAATTCTCCTATTAAAAATTAATAATATAATAAACTAAAAGTAAATAAAAAGATAATTTAAAATTATTTACCTCACGAAAAAAATCATATATTCTATTTTCAATCATAGAAAAAAAGGTTCTAATTTTATGTTCCGCCTTAAATAACTTTAGATTTTTCATATTGCTTTATCTTAATTTAATTTTGCCATTTGAGTAGAAGAGATTTTCAATCTTTTAAAAAGCTTCGCTTTTCTCGCCTCATTTGGTTCAGAGTCTCGCTTTCGAGCTTATGCATAAAACTTCATGTATACTCCATTCGTTTTTTCATGCATGAGTTCTTAACATTAGAGTCTCATTTTCTTTTATTAATTATATTACGTTGCGAAAAAAAGAGAACTTTTATTCGATTCAAATAGTTCACTGTAATTCATTTGATATTATTTATCAAGGAAAATAATAGATTTCAATTCAAAAATAAAATTATTTGATAATATAGTTTAGGAATTTATTATTTATTATTAATAATTATTTATTGATTGTATGATTAAATAGTAACTTTTTTGTTAATTACATTCAAAGTATTTTTTCGTAGTAAACAAAATCACCTTTTTCTGATTATTCAAAATTTTTAAAAATTTAATTTCTGTTGGTTTAAGTCTAACAAATTTTTCATATTGGTGATAATTGCTTAAAATGATGAAACATTTAGTTAAGTGAAATAAGTGAACAATTGAAATGAATGTATACTATTTAATAATTATACGTTAAGTGTTAAGTATAAATTTAGTATTTTATTGCGCTAGATTTGTCTCACATTAAGTAATTATTTTTTAATTCATTACTTGTTTTTGTCGTTATTTCGTCGTTCATTAATGAAAATTAAGAAACGAAAATTTACTGTATTTTATTCTTCTTTTTATAGAAACGAAAATTGAGAATGAAATTATGATAATTAGTTTTTGAATGTCTTAAAGCAAAACAAAAACATATTTGTTATTAAATTAAGGGGAAAAAATCATGAAAGAATTATTTCACTAACCTATATCTTAGTACGTATCATTAAGGTAATTTGAACATTATTTAATAATAAAGGTCTAAATGGGAAAATTGTCCGATTTATTTAGTAAAGGACAAGTTAACTGCTTCGAATGAGTGCTTTTTCACAATTTCGTCAAATTCGCACATTCTTCGTGAATTTCCTACAATGAATGGAAATAATTCAAAGATACTTCCAAAGAAAATTTATTCCTTTTCTTTAAATATTTTTAAAATCTGTCAAAAATTTTTCAATTTATTACACGAAATAGTAACGTAAAATTTAATAATAAACAAAAAATATGAAAATAATGAATGTAATTCGAAATTAAAATTCAAAGTTTTCATTAATGAAGCAATTAAATAAAAATTACAGAAGTAAATTAAATTATCAAACAATTTAATTTATAATAATTGAAAAAGAAGTTTCGAATAAAAATAAAATTGAATACTGGCAAAATTTTCAAACTCTAATAAACTATAAATGTAATATCTAGAAATTCTAGAATCGATTAAGATGGCGAATTTCAGTGATTTCTCAAGGTAACGACCAAAATTCTCAATCACATCGAAGTAACCTAAAGTTTCCTTAACAGTCCCTACTACTTTATTAATCAAACATCAAACTTGTGAATTTTCGATAGATTTACTCTATATAATGATAATAGCCGAAGTTATCAAACATATTCAAATTAATTCTTCCAATCCAAAAAAAAAAAAAATTATTTCATAAATCCGAATAAAATTTTCAATATTTCTAAAAATTTCAAACCCAATGGGAAATGCCAGTGTAGTGCCGATGTTCACCACTGGCTTAGTACTCAGACGATTGTTCGGCGTAGTCTAGCCGAGCCTCGACAATTAGTGCTGGCGCAGTACAGAATTTTTGTTTCGCCAAAGCTTGGACAAGCCACGGCGGCAAGTGCTGGCTGAGTATAGAAAAATTGTTCACAACGCTCTTTGCCAACATTGCTTTTTTGACATAAACTTGAAAAGAATTATAAAAAAAGTTTATAAATGTTTATAAATATAAATTTATTGAAAAAATAATATTTTACTTTTCAGTTGTTCATTTTTTATACTTATTAAATTTAATAATAACAATTTAACACAATTGTCTAATTTTGTAAATATTAAATTATTTAAACAAATTAAAATTATAAACAAAATTTAAACTTTAATCTCAATAATAATTTGGTTCCTATTAAAATACTATTATACTTCTTACTATGAATAAAAAATTATTAAAAAATTACCACGTAATTTAAGAATTACGTAAAATGTTAAATGCAATAAGTAAAGTAATTTAATTTAATTATTAAAAATTTAGTTTAATTTATTTTATTTCAATTTATTATTTCTAACGTATCCCTATTTTTTTCTCATCTTTGACTCAATAATTGTATGTCTGAATGATACTGAGATATTAATACTTTACTGTACACATGTGTCGTTAGCATAGTGGTTAGAGCGTTAGTCTGTTAGTCCGTAGGTCGTAGGTTCGATTCCCCTCGTCAGTAATTTTGTTTATTTTCATAGGTTTGCGATATTTCTAGATTCCAATCGATAGGTACTAAAATATGAAAATCTAATGCACACTTACTGTAATTGTTTATTATTATTAAATTTTTAAATGTTATGAACAATTTTTTTCTACTTCATTTACTATATCCATTGTTAGTCTCCATCTTTAATACAATTTCTTTAAGAAGAGAAATATTTTATGAATAATAACTATTTATTAATATTATTTACCATTTTGTTGTTAAATTATTTATAATTATTAATTTACGACTAATTAATAGCAATACGGCATTTATTGGGGCAATATTCTTAGCCAGCACTGGTCCAGTGCTGCCTGGCAGCACTGACAGACAGTACTTCGGCAGCGCCAGACGGCGTTATCATCCCAGTGCCATGCCAGTGCTGGCTCTCAGCCTTGCCGCCAGTGCTGCCAGTGCTGGCGCAGTACTACGCCAGTTGTAAATTTCCCATTGGGAAGAAGAGAAAAAATAAGTTTTCAAAAAAAATTATGAATTTCTCTTTTAAAAAATGGGTCTACGATAAGATTCTTAAAAAAACGGAAAAAACAATAAAGAAGATGATCTTTTTCTCAATAAGAAAAAAAATAAAGGGGAAAAATCAAAGAGAAAAAAATTCCAGGAAGAAAAGATAATTTTCGTCGAGGTGTAATTATCTATTTTCACTTTCACTTTGAATTTTTCTTTCACAAAAGGTCAAAGCGATTTCTTTTTAACTAAATTCAAAGTTAAAATGAAAATATATTGAAACAGAAACGATTTTTCTCTAAACTCGAAGAAAAGAATATTTTTTTGAAAAGAATTTCAAAAAAAAGTAAAAAAAACCGATTTGTTCAATATTGAATTGTACATTCCTCCATCAAGAATTGAAAAAAAATAAGAACGAAATAAAAGGGCGTGAGGAAAGAGCTACACGCTGATTGGCTCGTTGGTTTCTACTTACAAACATTCGCTTTACTTTCCGCCGCATATATAATTATATACATATATATATTATACATTTCCCGCAGCAATAGGCTATGCTTATACGTATTAAACCACAATCGGCACCCGTCTAGCGATGAAAAAATGCAACAGATAATAATCAACAACCGAGCTGGATTTTATCCTTTTTGAATCTAATTAAGGGTGAACATCGATCCATCATCGATGACCCTGTGACCCATATATCTTTCTCTTAGAGGCTAATACTTCCTCTATAAACGATCTTTAATCGCGCGATCGTTCATTCCATTAGACTCTTTCTCTCTTTCACTCTCACTCTCATTCCCTCTTTCTCTTTCGCTCTCTTTCTCAATTTTCATATCTTTTTTCACTCACACCTCTTTTTATTTCTCTTTTTCTTTTTTGCCTCTAATTTATACCCAGATACACGTAATTTCCTTCCGTCTTTCACAAATCTGCATAGGCCTTAAATTTTTTAAAAAAATTTTGAAAAAAAAAATTCATTTCCAATCATAAAATGAAAGAAAACAAAATTTCCTACTTAATTCATTAAGGGAGTGTTAAAGTCAATGCAATTATTCAAAATTACATTTTGATTTCAAAACTTATTCAGGGCTCGAACCGAATCGTTATCAACAAATTTTCAAATAATAGAATTCTATCAACGAATTTTAATAAAATTTTTAAGAATAATGACATTTTTCGAGAAATTTGATTAAAATTGT